TATTTCTAAGTGAATTTTCGTTGTTTTTTTTTCTTATTTTAAATATAAAAAAAAAACTGTTTAATATTATAAAAAAAAAAATTGTTGATAAATGTTTGTTATTAAATTGTTTTCCATTAAAAAATATAATATTGTTAAATATACTATTATTTATCCCATTTATTCTCTATCAAAGTCGCTCATTAGGCCTGTACGCATAGTTTTTCTGGCAAGTGTATATGCAACTCAACCTAAGTTTAAAGAATTTGTCGAAATTTTTAAACGGTATATAAAAAGGAAAAAAATTAAAATTATAAAAAATACCCATGTAATGTAATACACAAAGTAATACAAAAGCCGTACGTGATATATTTAATACAAGAAATTCGATACTGTTTTTAATCGGTAGAATTAAAATGTTAATAGTAATTGTTTATTTGAACCAAATTTGATCTGCGCGTGTTATATATGGATACATATATGGACATACAGTAGGGAGCAAAAGTGTTTCCATAGTTGACACTTTCAACTATGTGAGTCAATAATTTCCAAACGAATTAAGCAAATCAAAAAAACTTTTTTTCCAATAATATATATTTAATTCTTAACAAATTGCCGTATATAACAAAAGCAAAAAATAATCAGTAAAATATTCAAACAAAGAAAACTGAAACAAAACGCATGTGTACAATTTTGCACCTTCAGTGAAAATTGAATCTTGTCCCCGGGCCTGTGCCAATAGTATTGCTTGCCTTCTGATTGAAAACGGTTGAACTTGTATTCATCCGACCAGATGACACGTTTCCAATCATCTACAGTCCAGTTCTTGTGTTCCCGGGCGAATTTCAATCGACCCTTGACATTCTTCCCGGATAGAGCTGGTTTATTTTTTTTCACACTTGCCACATATCCAACCTTAGCTAGTGGTCTTCTAGCCACCCGCCGACTCACGTCTTTTCCTATGTCCATAAATGGCTTCTTCGGTGTAAGGAACTTATCAGTTCTCATTTTCGACATTAGTCTGGCGTCAGACTCCTTTAAGAGGCGTTTGCGGTCCTTAATAGTGTTTTTGGATGCACCACTGCGTCTTTTCTGGACCTTGGACACCGCTGAATTAGAAATATTAAACTGATCTGCAATACTACCAGTCGAAATCCACTTTCAGTTAGGCTAATAATGCTATTTTCTACATCTGACGAAAGCTTCTTCATTTTTTCGCGGTACTTTTTAGTTTTAGTTTGCTAAAATTAATAAATTTACTTCGAATAATAAGAAACACGTGAATTTCTGGATCATAAAAGTGTAGAATGCAAAAATAAAACATATAAGGGTAAACTTGCATGTCTATTGCCGATTATTAAGAATATCGGAAGGTGCAAAATTGTACACATGCGTTTTGTTTCAGTTTTCTTTGTTTGAATATTTTACTGATTTACTTTTGTTTTTGTTATATACTGCAATTTGTTAAGAATTAAATACATATTATTGGAAAAAAAATTTTTTTTATTTGCTTCATTCGTTTGGAAATTATCGACTCACATAGTTGAAAGTGTCAACTATGGAAACACTTTTGCTCCCTACTGTATATGGATGTCATTATCATGCTCAGAATATTTAATTATAACTCTACAAATAAGTTTCCATAGTAAAGCCTATATTGTAGTTCAAGCGCAGACATTGCATAAGCTGGGCAGTAAGTACAGTTTGACACGAAAGTGTTTTCACATGGGGAACAAATTATATATTTGTTCTTTAACATTAAAAAAATATACTAAGTATGAGATTTCAATATTTTTTAAATTATATTATGTTTTTTCAAATTATTGTCTTACAAAAATTATTAATAAAAATTAAATAACTATTATCAAAGGCATAACAAAACAATAACAACTAAAAGCATATTCAAATTTAAGTGACACGAAAGTGTTTGCACACATGCTATTCTTTATTTCTTTGTATTGCTAAATTCGCATTTACCGTTATTTTCGGCGTTTTCAATATGCACAGCTGTGGCTGATGCTATGTTCTTAAGAATTTTGTCATACATTTTAAGAATCGATACACATTCATTACAATCTTGAGCAAATTTGAACAAATTAAAAATGCCAGGGAAGCGATTGTCATTTGAGATGATTCAATTGGGTTATTATAACCACTCCATAGGAAAATCGGTCTCGGAAATAGCAGAAATGTTTATAATATCGAAGAGGACCGTTTACAATATTTTAAGCCGGGCAGAGAACGATGAAACACTGGAGCCAATGCGTTCTACTGGACGACCTCGGTCGTTAACAGATAGGGCAGAGCGTATTCTAGCCAGGAAAGTTAATGATAACCCAACAATTTCGACCAGAACGCTTGCCAGGGAGCTGCAGGAAGAGTGTCGTATTGACATATCCCGCGAAAGTATCCGCCGAGTCCTAAAAAGGAGCGAGTTTGCATCCCGAGTTGCGCGGAAAAAACCATTATTGTCGTCTGATCATGAAAAAAGAGGTCTAACATTCGCCAGGATGCATGTGGGACATGTGGAATCATATTGGGATGAAACCATATTTTGCGACGAGACTAAGATGATGTTGTACTACAACGATGGACCCAGCCGTGTGTGGCCGTTGAAAGCCCTTGAACGGAAAAATATAATTCCTACTGTAAAGTTCGGAAAACTTTCAGTGATGGTCTGGGGGTGTATTTCTAGTAAATGAGTTGGAGAACTATGTTTTATAGAAAATACAATGGATGCCTAACAGTATTTGGAGATTTTGCGCAGGCATCTAGTGTCCAGTGCCCGAAAGTTTGCATTTTTTAGGGATGGTAAATTAACTTTCAGATTTTACCAAGACAATGATCCCAAACATAAAGCCAACTCAGTCAGGTGTTGACTTCTTTACAATTGTGCAAAGGTGTTGGATACTCCTGCACAAAGCTTCGACCTTAATCCCATAGAGAATCTGTGGGCTGATCTTAAAAAAAGGACAGCCAAGCGAGGTCCAACAAATAAAAGGGATTTTAAGTCTTATATATTGGAGGAATGGGAGAAGACACCGGTGGAATATGTCAAAACGTAATATATTCCATGAATAGACGGTTGGAAGCGGTCATTGAAGCCAACGGGGGTAATAGTTAATTAAGTTAATATTGCCTTATTTTTGAAAAGTATTTATGTGCAAACACTTTCGTGTCACTTGAATTTGAATATGATTTTAGTTGTTGTTTTTTTATGCCTTTTTAATAGTTTCTTAATTTTTATTAATCGTTTTTGTAAGACAATAATTTGAAAAACATAATATAATATAAAAAAATATTGATATCTCATACTTAGTATATTTTTTGTATGTTAAAGAACAAAAATATAATTTTTTTCCCATGTGAAAACACTTTCGTGTCAAACTGTATATTATGTGGTAATGTGTCTGTGTGCATGGGAGGTTGTATAAAAGATTCGTTTTTATACCCTGATCCCATTAAAAATGGGAAATCAGGGTATAATGGTTTTGTGCAAATGTATGTAACAGGCAGAAGAAGGCGTGGCAGACCCCATAAAGTATATATATTCTTGATCAGGACGACAAGCCGAGTCGATTGAGCCCTGTCCGTCTGTCTGTCCGTCCGTCTGTCCGTATGTGTGAACGCGTGGATCTCAGCATCTATAAGAGCTAGAGACTTGAAATTTTTTTTGTAGGTCCGTGTATAGCACGCGCAGGTCAAGTTTGTTTCAAATATTCGATAACTATTCGCATTTAATTGTTATCGAATAAAAACATTATTGAAATGCAATAAATAAATTATATCTCAAACGTCTTAGGAGCTAGAGCCTCCAAATTTTGTATTAAGTCTTATGTATATTTTATGCAATTTTGATTTTTGTTAGATTTTGGATACCGGCTCCAAATTCCCCCAAATTCTTAAAATTTAAGTTTAGTTGGAACTAGGGCCATTATGTGAAGGCGTTTGCATCTCAACCAAGCCAATAGGATATGTAGATCATATGCTGAAAAATTCATTAAAATCCATTAAGTAAAACAGAAGTTATTAAACAAAACGTTTGGTCAATTTGCAAAAGCACATGTCAGCAGCGCCACGCGCACGCATTTTTCCTATGCGTGTGCACACATACATTCAAATGCGTGTATTCTTTTCTATTCCAAGAATTGAAATTGCGATTGAATTGTGCTGAATTATTAGCTGCTACTTATGTTTAAATTTGCAACACTTCGCGTATGAAGGACAGTGGCTGCGTTGGTAGAGAGGCTGCTCGCATGCAGCTTGGACCGGGTTCGAGACCAGTGGAAATGAAATGTTTTTTATTGTTTTATTTTTTTTTTAGTTATGAAGTGGCGGTGTTGGTAGAGTTTGTGCACGTTGCGTAAATAATCCGGGTTCGAATCCTGGTCTCGCAATGTCGATTTTTATTTGTTTTTTTTTGTATTTGTTTTTTTTTTTTTTTTCTTAATACTCGATACAAACTACGGAAAATATTACAAAACTCAAAGGACTGGGATCAGGGTATCTCCTAGTCGGGCACCCCGACTAGAGCTTTCTTACTTGTTTGTTATATTTTGCATAACGCCTCCAAATTTCCTAAAGTTCTTTAAATTTAAGTTCAGTTGAAAATATAGTCAATATGTGAAAGAGTTAGCATATTTACATTTAATTGCGTATATTCTTTTCTATTCTGAGAATCGAAATTGCTTTTGAATTGTGCTTGAATTCTCAGCTGCTACTTAAGTTGAGATGTAAAAATCCGCGATCAAGCGCACTCGTAAGCGACAATCTCTGGGTTCGATCCTGGCAGCATAGGAAAATTTTTGTTTGTTTGGAGGCGTTGGTAGAGTTGATGCGTGTTGCGTAGGCAATGTTTATTCGATTTTTTTTGCCGTAATGTCGTATTTTACTTGTTCTTTTTTTTAATACTCTATACAAACTAGTTTTGAGTAAAAATTGGGTGTTAATTTTTGTGATATTTCTACATTTTTAGCTACAATAATATACTTAATTAAAATATTAACTGATTTGACACTTACTTTATCGGATGGTATTGTCCGCGTCGTCTTATGTGTAAACAATGGAGTCAAAATTCGCTTTGTGCTAATACACGACGACGATATTGACTCATCCTGAGGAACTGTTGAGCTAGACGAGCACATATGTTCTCGTTCTACCATACCAATGTCATTATTAAAACAGGTGTTAGGTGCTGATTTTTGCAGAATATAATGGGATTGCTGTTGGTGTGCATTTATTGCAGGAATCTTACTACATGTTGCCATAGGAGGCAGGTATGAGTGCGAAGTTAACATCGTTGTAGTAATAGGAGTACTCATGTTGACGCTATCAACGACAAATGAGCCCGACGTAGATAATTTGTTTTTGGTAAATTGATGCTGGTGATGCCCTATGCTAGTGCTGGTAACAATCGCCGTTGTAGTAGTTAGCATATTATGTATTTAATAATCTTCTTCTATTGATTCCGTTGCAGCCGGTCACTTAAAATGAAGAAAATACAGCGTATCAAAAAGTAAATTTCTTTAATTTTATTTAATTATATTCAGTAAATATAGATAATTTTCTGACTTACTGCGTTGTAAGCTAAAGTCGATTAAAATTTTAATAAGATATTAATGTGAAAATGCAAATCCTTAAGACAGTGTCCAATGTTTATATCAATGCAGGAGTTCAGAAATACGCAGATTCACACTGACGAGTTTTTCATGATTGATTTTTGCACAAAAGATACTTGGAAGTTCCTCAATTCGTACTTATTTGGTTTAATCTAAAAATGGTATGATTGTGTGGATTGTGTACGTTTAAGTCCATGTGTTTACGAAACTTGCATGCAAAGATATAAATTAATGGACGCGCCTGCGCATGCGTACAAATTATTGTGTTCATTGTATACGTAAGGAATTCTTTCAAATTTATATTGTTTATGTTGCCACACCTACAGTATGTACATCTATATTTTCGAGCACAATATAAGTATATTTTAATGAAAATTAACAGTGTAATATGAATTTGTAAAGAAAAAAGTTAATTTTAAGCTAATTCACAGTAACACAATTGCTTAGAGTTGTAAAAAATCAACGGCACCATCAATAGTATTGATGGACGTTGGTCTTACCGATATATCGATGGATTTTTTCGATGTTGATATCTGCACAGCTGCTAATACTCTAACACTTCTAGTTTAGTGACCGAGGGCGTTAATTTTGTTATATATATATAATATATGTAAAATACTACACAAGATTTATTTAGATCGCCGTTGAGAAATCAAATCAAGATAAACAAGAGTGCTCTAGTCAAGACTGCTCGACTAGGAAATACTCTGAACCGTGAAGACGTGACCATTCAATCATTCTACAATATTTGTATACATATGTACATTTAAAACAACATATGCATACACACATACGAGCGCAAGCATATGAACGTTGTTTTATTGTGCGATCCAAGTAGCGATTGCATGGGCTGCATTATTATGGAAATATAATTGTTGAATGACTTTTCTTTTATATTGAATTTTTCCGACCGAGATAATGGCATTCGTGTGCATTTGCTGAAGCCGCTGCAGTTTGAAAATTTGGTGGGAATGGGGGAGGTATGCAAAACACGAAATATACAAAATAATTGTAGTCATTACAGGAACTCCAACAGTTGATTGCCTGTATCCATCTTTTATTTTTTAACTCAAGGGTACGTGTGAAACACAAAGCAAATTAATCGATAATTATCGATACTATTGAAATAAAATCAACACGTCGTCTTGATCAGGAATATATATACTTTGTTTTGTCTGCCACGTCTCTCTCTCGGCCTGTTATATACATTTACACCAATCCAATATACGCTGAATTCACATATCCAATGGGTTCAGAGTAATAAAAGCCATCGATATGTTGAAATACCTTACGGCCCTTTATACATCTCTGAATTTTCCAGCGGAATGACTAGCTTTCTAGCTCGAATTCGGCCTTCATATCAAAGTACCCGTGATCGAATCATATTTGTATGCAGTGACTGAGTATCAAAATAAAAGTAAATAAATAAATAGAAGTAAAATAGAAACTGTGGAAGTACGACAGTAAGTGAGAGCAAACATTTAATTTTTATGAAGTCTGCGATCTTCATAAGGTATTTATAGTTGGGCAGAAAAATTTTAAATTATAAGTTCTAAAGTCAATAGCTACACAAACTACAGAGTAGCAAAATGCATTATAATTTATATGGCCACCATTGCGTAGATCCGTATGATTAATTAAAATATCATAACAATACAACGCACAAATCTGTTCTTAAAATATACCATAAAGGTCTGTAAATTATTTAGAACGGTAAATACCAATTGAGATATATTTGTACATATTATTTGTTTCTTTATTAAGTGCGATACACTGCTAGCGAAATCGAAATTATTCAATATATAAATATATATATATACATATAATTAATTTAAATTCGCACCTTTGCAATCTAATAACATGCTCGCAATTGCGATTTTTTGAATAAAACAGAATGCACGCATTTGAATGTTTGTGTGCATATGTATAGATAAAATCAGTGCGCTTGGGGTTGCTTCCCACCTGATCTCAAATTATTGGACTCACACTAATCAAAAGGATAATCTGATTCGTGATGTGTAGCAATTGCCGCATGATTGCTTATGCAGTGCAGATAACGCCAAAGCGTTGAATACCCTTATGCTTTCGATTCAGTTTTGCGTTTCACTTTCTATATGATTATAAAAAATATCAAATCAGTGTATCTTAAACATTAAAAATGGAAATTCAGGGCGGTGTAATGTGGCGAACCTCATAAAATATATAAGAACGCAGCGAACTTATAAATAACGAAAGCTAAAGACTTGAAATTTTATATATGTAAGCTATTTAAGTTTATTTTCCATGATGGTCAAAGAACATCACGCATCAACCTGCAATCGCCACGCTGATTCGACATTCTAAATGGTACTGCTCTTCGGCATAAGACATGTCAGATTACCGCTGATTACTGCAATCAGTGCAGAGCATTGAACCCGCGATTCGGCTCATCAGCATTGTTACGTGAAGCTACTTAGTTGCTATGCTATGTTGTTGTTGCGTGTGGACGCTTCCGCCGTTGTTGTACAATATCCGCTAGAGACGGCTGGTGTCGTAAGCATTCATGCTGATAATGCATGGTCACCTTGAATATTTATGTTCTGCTAGTCAGTTGTGTTAACTCCTCCCCTACTTAGGTAAGTGACGTCCTCGGAGTTCTTGAAACTGTTAATTACCGCTTGAAGACCACGTTGACGTTTGTTCCTCTGATGTCTTTGGTAAAGTTTCATTAAGGCGTAGCACGAAAGTAGAAAGATGACCACGGTTAGTCCAGATATTATTGGTCTTCTTACCAGTCGTTCTTCTAATTGGGCAATGTCCCGAAGGTTTCTTATGCTTAGTTTCTGTAGGTACGGCAGGCTCGGTATTTCCTGATGATCCGTTATATTTAGAAGCGTGGATGCCGCTCTCCTCACGTAGTTTTTAGGATTTCTATATACGGTGTCGTTTAACTTTATCTCGGAGGAAGGAATGTCCCTTTCACCATTTGCTCGTCAACTATAGCTGCTCTGTCGTTGATGATGATAACGCCATCGATGATGGTTAGAGGTTCCTGAGTGCCACCTGAGTGCAGTTGTTGTGCTCACGTTGTATAGGGTAATTTCTTGCAGAGCGTTGTTGTGAGGGCTGTGCTACAATTTCCTATTGATATTACATGGTTGCCGCAAACAGCTTTATTGTAGTCTTCGGCGAAATTTATTATAATGGCATTGTGTTGGACAGGGTATATTGTTAATTTCTTACATACTATGTTAGGCTTAGGGTATCTTACAACAAAGTGTAGAAAGTTATTATTTAGCAAGACTTTAACTTGAGATACTTCCATTAAGTCAGTAATAGTGATATTTATAGGGTGTTCATTAACCATATTTTTTAAGTCAGAAGAATCCAATATGGAGGTGTTTACAATTCCAACTTTTGCAAGTGTTACTGATAGCATTAAGGTTTCTTATTCTGAAATAATTATTCTGTTTCTTGAGTGCAGTGTTTCATACAAATATTCTGTGTCTATTTTCTTTGTTTTTGTTATGAGGTTTACTGTGTCGGTTAGCTTATTTATTTGTTCTTGCATCTTGTGTTTATAGTTACTTGCCTATTTTCTGATTCAACAAGTTCTTTCTGTGTAAATTTAAGATTTTCCAATTCGTCGGAGTCTGGTGTGCCAGCTACGACTTTAAGAACGGTGCCTAGCATATTAATGCTCCTAGCATGTCTCTGATGGATATTTACTGTGGCTATTAGTGTTTCTATATGTTGTATATCTGTGTCTAATAACTGTCTCATGTGTGATCGTGGAATTTTTTCTTAGTTCTTTCGTGTCCTTTACTATTGTTGAGTATAAAGTAAGATTAGTTGAATGTTTTAAATATTGGAAATCCGTCCAAATGGCTATATATCCGTCTGAGATCGGTATGTAATCTGTGTTCGTATAATCGGTAAGTTTCGCCGCTATCGTTGTGGCAAAGAGAATTATAGCCCAAATCCTAAAGATAAAAAAAAAGAAGTTTAATGTTTTGTTTACCTTAGGTTGTCCTTGTGGACCACCCTCCCTTTTATTAAGACCGTTGTCCCCAAGTCTGCGTCAATTTTGTTTTCGTTGTACAGAGGTATCAATTTGTTCCCTAAACGTCTGTTTGCCTTTACAAGAACTGTATCGCCTACTTGGAATTGTCTATCATGTCTTGTTTCATTTACCCTGTTTATTTGGAGCTGCTGTGCCTTTTGAATTTTATTTCTTATTTCAATTTCAAGTTCTGGGGAGGATGAGTGGATTATGTCGATTGGACGTTTGTCTGTTACCGAGTGAACTGTGTTGTTGTATTCGATAGTTGCTTGAAGTATCGTTTCAACGGTATCTGTAATTTTCCTTTGCGCTGTTAGGCATCTTGCGATGTCGCTGAGGGTGCTATGGAATCTCTCGACCTGTCCATTTGAAGTACTATGGAGTGATGGGGCGTTTACGATTTGAAAGTTATACTGGCCGTTTAATAGTGATTTTATTGTTTCGGACTTTAAGGAGGGTTCATTATCGCAATAGATCGTCTTGATATGTCGATAAAAATTTACAAGTTGTAAAATTTCCGATTGTATGTCAATTATTGTTCTTGAAGCAATGGGTTGAACGGTTGCGAATTTAGAAAATTTGTCTATGCATGTAAGGAAGTATTTTTTATCGGTTGAGTATACGTCAATGTGTAGCATTTCACCCACATAGGAAGGTATAGGAGTTTCTCCAAGTATTTGTTTTTGTTGGTGACGGTTGTACTTAGCTGTTTTACAGATTTTGCAATTTGCAACAACTTCGTTTGCTAGTTTTGTCATTTTTGGAAAGAAGTAGTCTTGTAAAATCTGTTTTACATTTTCTTGGGCTGCTCTGTGGGCTCTATTATGTTCTGTTACAATTATTTCCTTTTGTTCGTTTCTGTCAATAATATCATTTACCATATGTTTTGTACATCAAAATATTGTTATTGGGAAAGTTTCCATTAGTTTATGTTGTATGAATACCAGTACTGGTAACTCGCAATGAATTGCATTAACCACGTCTTTTTTGACTACATTGTAAACTCTTGCGATTAACGAATTTCTGTCTGAGAAGTGAATTGTATGTCGGATTTTTTTTACCGAATAAGATGACTGTACGATCAGAAGCTACTCTATTTTCTTCAATTATATGTTTTGGAAACAGTTGATTGATTTGTCTGTTGTTTCTATAGTGTACGTGAACGATACTTCACTGTGCATTGTAGCTCTGTCTGACTCTGCATCGTCTTTCAAGGCATGAATATTATGCCGCGATAGCGCGTCAGTAACGTAGTTTTCCTTCCCTGGGTTGTAATATACTCATCTATAAAAGCTTTCCAACGCTTGATTTTTGCGTTTGGATTGCGGTCAGGTACTGCAAACGTCAGGGGTTGGTGGTCCGTAAAGATATTTAAATATTTTACT